GATTTCCAAATTTATTCTGCTAAGCCCATTTGCTACCACTCCCATTTTCGCTTTCTAGCCTTTCAGACACCTGAATATTTCTTCTAAAATATCTTTACAAGTATGCAACCTCAATCTGTGTACAGCAGACCAAGGAACGTCTAATTTAGTTTAAGGTTTCTTGAGCAAGGAAAATCAAAAATCTAAATTTAATGGAAATCCTCGGCATTTACAATATGTAGGTTAAATAAATATTAATTTGTGACCTTTATTCATGTTTACCAAAGCAAGTGTTTCTTGGAATGCTTTATATCGCAAGTGAATCCCAATCCTTGTCAAGAAATGAATTCTCTGCATTTTATTTTAAAAACACAGTAATATTATATACACATTTGAGCGAAATAGGGTCACTAACAAGATGAACCGGGTGAGGAGACGCTAAGAATGATTACGAAAACGTTTATTTGTAGATGATTAAGGACATAAAATCCTACACCCAAATCGTGCGCATAAATTCCAAGAGTGGATATTTAACACAATGATATCCACTGAGTTAAATAACTGGACAATATCTGAAATAATATAACGAAAAAAAGATACGGTTCCTAATTGGTACGAATTGTAAGATGAAATATTAAACAATCAATGAGAAATGAAATAAAATATTTAAAAATTAAGACGAAACTGACAATGTAATCATTTAAACAATGATAAGTGAATGCAGCATTGGAATTCACCTTTATGTATAAGTTGGGAAAGCATTTTTATAAATTGCCTTATAGAAATGAATTTAACTAAATTAATTAACATGGACGTAGGTCTATATTATTTTTCAAAAGCAACTTTTGGAATGCATTTTAGCAATATACCACCCCAATCTAACTGGTTCTAGGTCTCATATGATCTTAACAACATTGTTCAATTATAGGTTTTCTTTTATTGTAGTTTCTGCTTCTATTCTGTCGAAACTGCTTTCACAAATGCAATAGATTCATGTAGCTTTAATTCAGTTTGCTTTTGGCATGATAAACAATGTCCTAGTAAAAGTACATATTAAAGTATAACCATTATGAAAGACCTACGCTAATGCCTTACAATAATGTTGCGTCTAGACAAGTGGTCTCTTTGATAAGTCATAACATTGGAAAATCAATAAATCCATGCATTGAAAACTTAGCCTCTCAATTCTTGTGACCTGTCAGTGCAATGACATCTCAGTACAGGTTAAACTGTAATAGTTATAATTATTTATGTACAGGAATTTTATTAAACAACAAATATGTATAGTGTTTGTCTTCTTATTCCATGATGTGTTGTCTCTATATGCAATACACTAACGCGCAATGACAACGTTACATAACACACACACACATATGTATGTATATATATATATATATATATATATATATATATATATATATATATATATATATATATATATATATATATATATATATATATATATATATATATATATAAAGAATACAAATCATATGGCGAATAACAACCCTTTTAAGCGTACTGGATCCACCAAGGGATCACGTGTGTCAGGGATTAATTAAAATAGATGCAATAAACTGACGACGAACAGTACGAAACTAGTAACTAACTAGCCTAAGCGCTTTCGACTCTTAATGAGTCTTTTTCAAAGGCAAATACAAAACATATATACGACAAACAAATAAACACAAAAACGTTGTGTTTGTAAACCTCTACATGGCTGTCTTCACATGTGCAAAAACTATAAACACAACCAGCTTGTATAGACTAGTTACGGAAACTGAAAACGTTGTATAATTCCCTAAAAGTCTACAAGCCAAAGCGACATCTATTTTTACTTTGTGTACAAATGTAACGCAGATTATATCCCGGATATTTGATTCTATACCGGTTATTCTTATAGTAAAAATTGAAGGATAATAAGAAGATTTAGAAAATGTTAAATTCTACTAGTGCATAGTTTTCATTTTCTAGTCTTCTTGGTTTAGACCGCTTGTTGGTTTCAATGTTCTAAGGCGGCGTATCCAGTATGATTCCTTTTCCTTCCTGGTTTCGGAACTCCAGCTGTGGTTTTTAGCAATAGCGATAAGTATTATATCACTGAAAGTGTGGTCAGGGGAGGAGAAGTGTTCTGCGACCGGGTTTCTGTACAGCATTTTTGTCATCCAATCAGATCTATGAAGGTTTATCCTATATATATATATATATATATATATATATATATATATATATATATATATATATATATATATATATATATATATATATATAACATCATCGAGTCATAATTTGTACAACTTCTTGTAAAATATACATTATTAATGTAAATAAAAATTGTACTTTCTTCATTAACCTATTTTATTAGATGTTATAACTTATTCAACCCTTTTCTGAATCCAAGTCCATCATGTAATATCTTTTATCTTTTAAAGAAATATTTTTGGATTTGAATTATTGTGATCCAACGAAACACTACATAGACCACCACAAGCACATCAACAGTGGTGGATCAAACTTGGATTTCTATTAAAGTTTGTTGAGAACTTTAATCACTACGAATTGTACCAGTAATTCTAGGATTATCTGGGATTTAATTCGCAATAGCGTCAATTCCTTGTTTCACATCTTCACTTAGTATCATCGGAACACAATATTTGTTGAATTTTACAAAGTGTGCTGCGTCTCAGTCTTTTCCATTGCTTATATTAAGAGCATAAAGTCGTAAAATTTAATTGGGGCTTCTCCAGAAGGATAATAATTTCTCTAAAATATTTCAGAAATATTAGTTTTAAAATCTAAATTCACTTCTTTAAATACTTTCTACGACTTTCAGAAATCTTTCACGAAACCAACAATCTTTTATGTCATCTAAATTGTAGAACGTTATTTTAAATTATGCCAGGAAAAGGTTAGACTCCATGAAAAAGGGATACATTGTTCCCGCTTGCCACAAAATATGATTTCTCTCAGGAGGAGGATTCTTTAACGAAGAAGAAATAAAAAATAATTTGGTCCAATATTTGATAGAAAAGAATGTTTTGGATACAAATGATTTTGAACTGATTAGTAAGTCTCCTGAACGCTCGGATAGCCTTGTGGTTAGAGCATCCGTCACACATGCGGTAGGTCGCAGGTTCGAACCCCGGACAAGTCATACCAAAGACGTATACGAATGATACCAGCAGCGGTCTCGCTTTGCGCTCAGAATTAGGAGGCTAGTGTTAGGACAGGTTGGCCTAAAGTCAGGATAATGTCAGTGGGTGGGACATGATGTATGCGGCCTTATGTCAGGATAATGTCAGTGTGTGGGACATGATGTATGTGGCCTTATGTCAGGATAATGTCAGTGGCTGGAACATGATGTATGCGGCCTGATGTCAGGATAATGTCAGTGTGTGGGACATGATGTATGCGGCCTTATGTCAGGATAATGTCAGTGGATGGGACATGATGTATGCGGTCTGATGTCAGGATGCTGTCAGTGGGTGAAACATGATGTATGCGGCGTGATGGCTCAATGCTACACATTAATATAATCTGCCACACCGCAGATGTGACTTACAAAATGCTTTTGCTATATGAAATGGAAGAAAGAAAAATGCAGATAGTAAAGAAGAAATTTCAATTTTGATTGAAATAATTAAAGCTTGCAAGTGGAATCATTTCCCCCATTTTACACACAAATTCGAGGTTTTATGATACAAGCAATATTAGATTAAAATATCTCCATTAAGGAAAAAAGAAGTAGATAAAAATTCTCCTCATTTTCAAAACATTTTCACAGAGAAGGTGATAATTTTGTCCCGAAGCAAGGAAATATTTGACGTTTGATATAGCACCCATATTAGTGCGTCTTCCTTAAGATATAAATGATGTTATAATGAACAACGGAATTGAATGTAAAATGGCTGCATGGCGCTGATTAATCCGATTCATAAACTAGCATATGGAACCTAAGAAGTGAAAATGGCAGCTTTTGGTTTTGCCAGTACGGCATTAAGAGAAAGACTCGAAGGGGTATAGCATTTAGATAGTGGAATGTAGAGGAAAAGTTGGTTTGAGGTATTTCGTTTCTTTGCCCTCGCACTGTGAATATGTCCTGAGAAGCTTGCATCTTAAATCCGATCACCGGCTTTACACTGACATTCCATAGTTCTGGTAACAATGCAGACATTTTACTTCTGTGGTATAAGGTTTGAGAAAGGTGTCTTTGTCAAATAAATATTCTCTGGTGGCAGTATTTTTCCATGTCTTATCTATTTAATTTATTTAATATTTTACAACAAAAAAATGATATCTTGTATAAACAATGGATGAAGGAACGAGGAACAATGTATGATTTGTTTGATAATTATCGCGTCTTTGAGTGTTAGAGAATGCCAATGTGGGGTTTTTCTGTTGCAATCCGAGTTTGATCTATGACCATTTCAAGGAGTGACAGTAAATCATCCACTAGCATCTTTAACATATTAAATACATAATGGTTGTACCCATTTTAACACATACATTTTACTGAGAAATTTCTGGATATGCAGTTGTCTTTGTGTGATGTCAAAGAGTTTCATGGTATCAGAGTTTCAGTCAGGTCGTCAGTGTATAGTTTATTTTACTGTCCCAAATTCTGTCTTTCAACCAATTAAAAGTGCGTTGCCTAAATAACTGTATTAAAATGCATACTGCTCTCTGATTCCTTTATAAATGGAAGAAAACTTGTATAATGCAAAGTCTGTGAAACTCTTCTGGTCATTCGATTCAGAGTAAATGTTTTACAAAAATTGATGAATGATTGCTTCTTAGCATTTTTTGGTTCCAATAATTTCTATTTTATCCATGGCACATAATTATCACAGCAACAGTCCATCTCATGCATATGACACCTTATGTTGTTAAAAGAGACTTTCTGGTTATGAACAAGAGTGATAAAACGACAGGATAAAGAAAAGGGTTGTAGATATAAAGTAATAACTCTTTGCATGTATCACGTTTCCAAAACCCATGACTGCAATTCAAAACGATCATCGAGCACTTCGGTGGCCTAAGTAGTTACAGCGTCCGCCTCGGATGCGGAAGGTTTGTGGGTTCGAACCCCATCCGAGTCATACCAATGTCTTACAAAAATGGCATAAGCATCTGCCTCGCTAGGCGTTCAGCATTAAGAGGTTAGTGTTTGGACTTCAGACTGGTGCCCGAGTGTTCTACATCACAATACATTAATCACCACACTGCACACATCGTAGCGTTATGACTGGAAAATTTATAAAGCTACATTAAAAATCAAAATCACACACACTTAGCCCGTTCATCACATATCTTTATTATTGCACATGTCTGCTTTATCAGATATGACTATTTAATGAACAGTGAAAACTTTATGTAAATTTTAAATAACAGAAAAAAGCATAGAACTCATTCTTTGCTTCTAATCTTCAAGTATTCATTTTCAAAGACAATATATCACAACTATTCATAATTCTCTTTTGTAGTGAAGCGTGTTAAATCTAACATTACGTATTCCTCGTATCTTCGATTTGATGTATGACAATAAAGCCCACGGTATTATGACAATAGTCATGAGGCTGCTTTCTCACATCCCTTTACCAGAATAGGTAAATATTTTGCAGGTAGACCTTAATCTTGTATCAGGACTACTTTTGCCCAGATTATAATGAGAGCCAAAAGAAGTACTTTTGTATGTAAACCAATCATAATTTTATTGTTAGCAAGCCTAATCAAATAAGGAAATGGTAAAAAAGGTGGCGAAATTGAGAGCATTACAAACTCAATTGTTCATGAAATCCTAAACCAAAGCATAACAGATCGAATCTGTCATTCTTAAACTGTATTCTAAGGCCATACAAATTTACAGTATCTGAATGTTTAAAAGACAATCAGCAACTAAAACAAATGCCATTATCTCAATTTTGTTCCAGTGTTTTCAAAAAATAAACTATACCAGCACTAATATGTGTTCCCATCATTATTGACTCGACATGTATTTGGCACAGTCTATAATCCTGGTTGTGACAGTTTCTGCCTCATATACTTTCATCCCAGAACATTTAATAATTCCAACACAAATGGTTCAACTTTTCATGGTTATGTAAAGTTAAGCTTCAGCTATAATACAAACCAATCTAACGTCAGCAATCGTAAAATGAATTCTAGTTTATAACTAAAAAATCAAAGTATCACATTTTCATCAATATCAATTTATCATTATATTTTTCCTATCCAATGCATGATTGTGAAACTGAACTGCTGGTATAGTTTAAACCACTGTTTGTTTTCTTGACAAGGAATATTGTTGTTGTTGGCTTCCGTTAGTCTCGAGAGACGATGGAAATGCGCCCATGAAAGGTGTCCCAGTTTGGAAATGTGCAGCGTCTTCTGTGGCTATAAAGCCCCACACGGGAATGGCAATCCTTGCTGCAGTTGCTGCACTTGAAGTTTGAGTTAGGTCTTGGTTAGAACTACACCCTCTTCCTCTGAGATCTTTTCTCATCGGCGAGCTGTCGTAACTTTTCCTCGCTGGCTTTCAGACCTGTGATCAGAGCATGTCGTCAGCTGGACTTGTCGAGGGCAAGCTCTTCCCAGGTGTTGACTTCGATCCCAAGAGCTTTCATATCCTGCTTGCAGACATCCTTGAAGCGAAGATGTGGCCGTCCGATTGATCTTCTGCCTGAGGCAAGTTTAGAGTAGAGAAGGTCTTTGGCGATCCGTCCATCATCCATTCGACGCACATGGCCCAGCCATCTGATGCGACGTTGGCGGAGGAGTGTGACCATGCTGGGAATTTTGTCCTGTTGAAGTACCTCGTTGTTTGACAAGGAATATATTATGTTTTCAAACTACAAAACACGATATTCTCAGTGAATCATAATTATTAACAAGTCCAATCAGACAACGGCCGTCTCGAGTATAAGTCTTGAAAATTGAATATATAAGCCACTTTGTTTTGATTTCCATTATGTATTTTCTATTAGTACTTATCTCCGTTGAAAACTGTATGCGGGTTTAAATAGGTTAGCTTTGAAATCGACATCAACTAGTTGTTTAAGGGTTTCAAAATTGAGTGTCATAATGTAAAAAGTCATTGACTAACATAGACATGTTTTGTTTCACAAATTTGCTGAATTGTGTTTACTGGTACAAATCATATTTCGAGTCTCGGATTCGGCCAATGTGGGTGAGAAAGCTTGCCAATAGCTTCACGTGTGTAGGTGGTTCTTCTCGGGGTTTTCCATGGTTCGTCCTTCACTATTAATACTGGCCGCCATGTATAGCGTATCTTGTGCTGAAAAATGGCGTTAAACCCTACAATAACATTATGCATGTTTGAATTTCACTGTTCTTACATGAAAAAGGCATCCCGTTTAATCATCTCTAGACTGATATATTAAAGCCCAAGTTGGATCTTTAATCTCTAGTCTATCTGGACAGACAGTCACCATACAAGCCAATCCATTTTCCAGCCTGATTCGAAATAAATGTCAATCAAACTGTAGAGTTAGTTCTATATGAAGTTACACGTACAAGGCTCGTGCTTTTTATACTCATGTTCTCTTCCTTACAAATCGGGAGGGGGGGGGCTGTCAAAAGACGAAACTATCCAGTGAGATCTCACCGTAGATATGCATACCAGCGAATTGCTAACCATAACATTCCCTCCTTTTTTTTGGATCGTCTGATGTGTGTATAGAATTTTTTTTATACTGGCCACAACACCCCCAGTATAAAAAAAACATACAGAAAAAGTCAATCAAGTAATGTGTTTTCGTCTTTATCATTAATATTTACACCAGTGATAAGCCTACTCGTAATAACATTTCAACGTAAGTTGCATGTTTTTAATTGATAGACACGTTTAATTAATAAATAAATGAATACAGTTGCTTTTCGGATATATGATGTAAAAGCTGATTATAACATTAATGAACAACACTTAGCTGTGCACGATAAACAGAACAAAGAATTACCCAATTTACCATCGCCACATGCTCTGTGCCAAAACGCAGTAGAGCTTTCAACGGGAGAACACTGTGAAACACTCTAGCTACAACAGAATATCAGTGACCACAGTTGTGTGCAATTGTATAGACGAATAAATGAGGCATAACTTGAGACATTATCTTCTAAGTAAATGTCCTTAAGATCCCAACATTAATCCAGAATCAAATAAAGCACCCGTTCGTCTTCAGTTTTAACGTACGGTTTATCAATTAGTAACACATTTACCAGAGTAACGAGCATACATTTAGTGCAGTTAACACGAAAACGATTGTTATGCTTCCATGGTAATCAATCAGTTTTAGATGAGGCGCGGCGTGGAGTAATCTACAAAAACCGTTTGTCGCGGACATGGTATGAGACATTAATTTCTCGTAATGATGAGGTGAGAGGCCACGTATGAGGGACAGCATCTCATGTAAAGTGGAGTTACTACGCGTTAAAGATTTTATATTAACTTGTAATTATTGAGAAAAAAGATGATGAAGACGATGAAAATTATGAAGACAACAATAACAAGGTTGATGACAGAGGGTTAGAATTTGGAAAAGTTATGGATACAAGGACAGCGGAAAAAAAGGACGATGAAGAAATATGGCAATATTAAGACGGGGAAACATAAAGTCGAAATCCAAATATTTAAACGTATTCAAATAAGCTATCCAACACTGGGTTTGGAAAGTAACTGATTATACCGTATATGATTAAGTTAACGATAATGAAAGAGTTGTGGTTATACACTAAATAAGTGTGACAAAATAAATTCAAACATTCTAAATTGACAGAAATTGATAAGAAATACAATGTAAATTTAATTAAAATCCTTCACTTCATAATCATAAAAGAATAACGTAGAAGATGAACAAACGAAAGTGATAAAAGAAAAATCTACTGCTCAGTAAACAAAAATAAAAATCAAATGAATGCTGACCTTAGAGCTATTAAAATGTTTACAATTGCAAGAGGGATATACAAAGCGTCACAAAACAACGTACAGTTGTAGTGCTAATATCGTTACATGTCACATAACGACGCACAGCTGTAGTACTAATATCGTCACATGTCACATAACGACGCACAGCAGTAGTACTAATATCGTCACATGTCACAAAACGACGTACAACTGTAGTACTAATATCGTCACATGTCACAAAACGACGTACAACTGTAGTATCAATATCGTCACATGTCACAAAACGATGTACAGCTGTGGTAATAATATTGTCAATATGTGACATATATCAAGCATTTGTGAATACAACTACTTCTGTAGCTTGAAGTGGATTGCTTTGAAATTTAATATATACAGTAGAGCTTCGATTATCAGTTAAGGTGCTGGACGGAGACCATGACGGATATGAAAATAGACGGATAATAGAATATGTACATTAAAAGTATTAAACAATAGACTGGGTCATCACAAAATCATAATATGTACATGTACCTGTTTTTAATATTTTGACGTAATGCCCTGACGGTTAACAGAGACTGACGGTTAATCGGGTGCTGGATAATCGAAGTTCTACTGTATTATGGTCAGCATCAGTACTTTGCATGCTGATCAATCATTCGACTCATCCTATTTTTGAAGAGTCAAGTCCCTTTTTATTATGGATTCATTGAGTTAGGGGAGGATTCAATAGTGGGCAGGGTATATTAACGTGAGCTAATTGCTCACCATTCTTCGAATTTTCCCCTGAAAATAAGGAGATGAAGCTAAATTGTGCACCAGAAAGGGTATCTCTGTGTCCTAAGAAAAAATAAATTACTGCGTAATATTTGCTCTGTAAAGTATTCAAACATTTTAAAGGGTCATTTTTTGTAAATAGGATTAGCAACCGATAAGGGTCTGTAGGACATAATAGACATTGTCTGAGAAAGCGAGTCATACATTCAAAATGGTATACATGCTCACCTTTTGTATCGGTTCTTGTTATATTCTTTGAAGGATTATCAGACCATATTCTGTCCCCCCCCAAATAAATTAAATAAAAAAAACCAAAAACAAAACAAAAATAAAAATAAAAAGGTCCATTAAAATTGCGATCGATTTTATTGTAAAACACTACACTTTTTATTTCATCTCTTTTTT